TAATAAAGAAAAGCTGCCTTCAGGCTATCAAAAACGTGTCAGAAAGCGACAAATAGATCTAAAAAATGCAGGGAATAATTCAAAACAGACCAAATTATCATTTTCTTGTGTACTAAATCAAAATAAACCGAGTAGTATTCAACCAAATAACATAGAAATACCTCACACTACTAGCATTTCAATTAACAATATTGAGGCCACAAAGCTTGACTACACGACTGATTCTCAAAGTAATCAATTGATATTAAAGCAGGAAAATATAGAAATGGAAACTTCATTACAATGCACAGATATAAACGATGATATAGATAATACCCATACTAACATAAATGAACTGTCTAATGATTTATATGACGATTGCGACGACAATGAATCTAATATGGGAGTCAATAGTGATATTATGAACACTAGGTATTTTATTTCACCTTCAAATACGCCAACTAATGTAAAAATTGATTTTGTCAACGACCATCCAATACAACCTACGGGTCCTTTAATATTTTTTGATCCATCTAAGACATATTATAGGTCTATAGAAAATAAAGACAATAGAGAAGTCATTCAGCGTAAATGGTTAAGTTATAATGTATCTAATAATAATATGTATTGTTCTATATGTATGGCTTTTGCTACCAATCGATCAGTAAACTGGGTGACTGGGATTCCGGATAATGTAAAACATATTTACAAAAATGTAGAAATACACGAAATAAGTAAAAATCACAAATTAGCAGTTGATGCTTATTTAGTAGCATGTTCTTCAAAATCATTGGATTTATATTTTAACGATAAAAAAAAAAAGATTGATACTAGACGACAAGTTCTTGAAAGAATTATTTCTGTAATTTTAGTACTTGCAAAACAGGATTTACCATTTAGAGGACATAAAAATGAAAGTTGTTATTCATTTCAAGACTCTTCTTCGAAAATAGGTAATTTTTGGCAATTGTAAAGTTGGTGGCAAAATTTGACCCCGTATTAAAAAATTTTATTGAAATTAATTCAAAAAAGAGTCTAATCTTAAAACAAAATGCTGATACTAAAAATATTAAAGGACCATGAGGGAGAGGTTCTTTCAATTTATTTTTATCAAAAAATACATTCAATAAGATAATTATAATAATTGCTAATTTAATAAAGAAAAAAATTGCTGATGAAGTTATCAACGCGAAAATATTTTCATTAGAAATTGATTCCACCCAAGACGGAGCCAAGTGTCGGTCATGGATCAATTATCATTATGTATTCGGTATGTATATAAAGGTGAGGTCCAGGAACGTTTTTAAAACATTCTTGAGGTAAAATCTTCAACAGGAGAAGAACAATATAAGTTGGTAAAAAAAAGTTTAGAAAGTCTATCTATTGATCTGAAAAACCTAATAAGTGAATCTTTCGACGGTGCAGCAAATATGAGTGGGCAGTACTCTGGATTGCAGGCTCATTTGAAAAAAGATTCTCCGAAGTCAATTTTTACACATTGCCATGCGTATGTATTGAATCTTATAATAGGAGATATAACAAACTGTTGTATTCCTTCTCAAAATTTATTTGAATATTGTCAACAAACTGCAGTGTTTGTATCACGTTCGTATAAAAGAATAAATTTGTGGAGAAATATTTTACAAGAAAAAAATGGAAGTGAAAAACTTAGAAAATTTAAAAAAAATTGGGGAAACTAGATGGAATAGCAAAGATATTGCTTTGCAAGCAATATTTCATTCAGTTACGGAGGAAAATAATAAGAGGGACAGATATTTATGTTTGTTAGAACTACTTCACACTATTGGATTTGATGGAATTGCAGATGGTGGAACAGCTGCTGAAGCAAGAAATTTGTTAGAAAAATGGACAAGTTTTGAAATCATACTTATAGCTTTTACATACATTCACATTTTTAGTAAAGCTACTTCTGTTTCCAAGTACTTACAAACTAAATGCTTGGACTATCTAGCTGCATGGAACCAAATTGTTTCATTTGGAAATGAAATAAAAAATATGAGTAATGAATTTGACAAAATTTATGAACAAGCTAAAAATTTCACTGAAATAATGGAAATAAAAATGGAAAAATTTGCAAATATTTTCATTGAAACATCGTTACCTGAGAAAAGAAAATATAAAAAAAAGAAAATGTTTGATGAGCTATCAAACGATGAAATAGCTGGAAATGATTCTTTAAAATTATTTAGAGTACAGGTGTTTCGTGTTATATTCGACTTATTATCCATGACGATTGAAAACAGATTTTTGAAAAATAAAAACATTTGATCCTAATAGATTTATAGATATAAAAATAAGATTTTGACATTTGATGGAAATAATGAAAAAGTTTTCAACAATTTTAGTGAAATTATTGGACTACAAACAGATTTAATTAAAGAAGAATTAATTAATTTTTCAGCTTCTTATGATATGGTATCAAAATCACTTGAAGGTGAAATCAAATTTGACGATTCAGAAGAATCTGAAGTGACTAATGAAGATGACAATTTATATAAAAATCAAACAATGACTGATATTCCTAAATATTCACCGAAACCAAATAAATATAAAAATTCAACTTGTAGTAAATAAATGCCATGCGTCATGAAATTATTATTCAAGTATAACTTCCATACAGCTGCATTTACTAATCTGTACTTGGCATATAAATTTATATTAACTCTTTCATGCACACAAGTACATTGTGAAAGATCATTTTCAAAATTAAAAATAATCAAAACAAGATTACGATCATCAATAAGTCAAGAACTATTAGAACCTCTATTACTTATTAGCATTGAAAGTGATAAAGTTCCTGATTTAGAAGAAATAATAAGTTGTTATGCACATTCATCAACAGAATTAAAAAAATTGCTTGTATATTAATCATCCATATTCATAATTTGTTTATTATTATTTATTATTTATTATTAATTAATTTTCGAGTGTTAAAATTTTATAAATGTATTTTAATTATTTACCTTGTTAGTATAGCCAAGTAGGCAATCTTTATAATAAATGTATTAAAAAAATATGTTATGTCTTTCTAATTGTACCTAAATGGAGGGCCCTTTTTTTATTTAGCCGACCAAGTAATGTGTGCCCAGGCCGCCACTGAGCTATCACCATTGAAAATCCAGTTAAACGTGTTTAAACCACTCGGGTCATCAATAGAATGTTCTCAGGCTATAATATAAATTACATATCACATATTATGTACATTTGAATTGTGCAGACTGTTAGCAATAACTATAATTTTTGGTTTTTTTTTTTTAATTAAAAATATATAATTATAATAAGTCATAATGTGTAACATAAATACACATTAATATATATATTTATTGAATTACCCGTCGTTGCCGGGTTTAAGTATAAAAAATGTCTACAGCCCAACTTTAACCGGACGGCCGCAGACCAAGACAGACGATTAATTTTAATAGCTATATAATAAATAATAATAATAATTTTAATAGGTATATAATAAATAATAATAATAATTTATTAAAATTTAATAGGTATATAATAAAAATAATAATGTATGACAACAATCTTATTACAAAATTTCTCTATAAACTACATTTGATGTTTTTCCTGTTGGTGCCAAAATAACTAAATTTGTGGGCATACTCATGGCTAAATAACATGGTATGACAGCAACTACTTACTGCGCATGATGACTACGTCATCCGGTCTCGATAAAAAGGCGCGAAATCAAATATTGTATTATGATAACAGATAAATTAAATTTATCACTTATGATAAAAAATAGTTAAATTAATAGTGTCTGTAAAATTAATTATAGTTAATTTGTATACTAAAGAGATAAATTATTACAGCAAATAATAAATATATTATTACTATGTGAATTATACTATTCATGTTGTAGCATGCTTTAGAACTACAAGAAAGGTATAAAATAGTGTTGTTATTAATTTTATATTTAAAATAATATACAATGAAACAATTTATGAATATGTACTAAAATAATTAAATTCATAACATAAATTTTCTTATTTAGTTTATTTCAACTTTGAGCATTGTCGGCAATATTTTTAGTTGATTGAACCTACAAAGTTCTGGTTCGATTAAAAGCTACCACTCTTCTGGTAATACATCACATTACTTTCTAAAATAACTTTGTGGTTTTAATGTTTCCATAACTTTTAGGATTTTTATTGAGTGAGGACCTGCATTTCATCAAAGTATTATTCATTATTTGCAACTCTGATTAATGTTCCGATGGTGATAATGGCCTCTTGTTATATGCTGAATCAGCTGTTGATAATGAAGATCCAATGAAACTGAAGTTTCATGCCTAAATCAGGATATTTATGAACAAACGCCTGGCAACATAACCAACTATATTCTAACGCTCATGCTCCACAGCTCTAATTGTTGCACTCTGGAAAAGGATAATGTAAGGTATCTATATGTGATTATTTCAGTGTATACAATGTTTTTAAGGCACTCGTTTTAAAAAGTTGGGAAAGTTCTTTTCTTCCTAATACTAAAAAATTATTATCTGCTGCAGAGTAAGATAGTTCTTCGGTGAACATGTGATCGTTGTCTAAAGGTGTTTGAAGAATTTCAGACTCTTTGACAATTGATGCTGATAAACATTCAGTATCAATTAACCGTTCACCTATTGTATCTTCAGTATTCCTGTTCTGTGACAGTGCAATAGAGGCATGTTTACCAAGCAAGTACCATTTTTGACTGTAAAAATCAGAAGGTCCGTGTTAAATTTATTTATATTTTATTTATCCAATTTTTTAAACATACCAGTGTTTAAAATCAAGAGGTGATAAGTGTGTATTTGCACCGGACATAGCTTTTAAATAGCTGTAAAGGTTTTCAAGAATATCTTGATTCAAACTTCTCGTTATTATATAATTATATCAGGATATTTTAATTTCAAATCAATCAAAAGATTTCTCAATGACTGGTTACTGTATAAAATTCCTTAAATGTGTACAATTTTAGAAATTCAATAACAATTTACAACAAAACTATTATAGTTAAGTACATGATTTTTCACCTTTTTGAAATGGTAACAATGTTTTATGTCCAACAACTCTCATCTCTGAGATAAAATTATCCATTGTTTTTAATAATTTGTTTTGATTTTCAAGATCCATTCCATAACTTTTTATAAATTTATCTACTGGTAACTGTGTGTTAAACAGGTCAAACCAGTCATTAAATAGTTGTATTATCCAGAAAGCCTGTATGTATAACAATAATAATGATTCATCCAACATATACATATAAATAATTTAAACATTATAGTATAACCTCTTGCCAGTTATTGTAGTCAAGATTGAAATTTTGACCACAATAGGAAATCGCTTTGGCTAATGAATTTGAAAACAATTGTGCTGCTAAACTAACACTCTGCTTTTTAGGTCCTGGTATATTTATATGATTGTTTGTAATTTTATAAGCAAGTCTCAAATCATTTTTATTTAAATTTAATACTTTTTCAACAACTTGCTTTTCAATAAACTTATTCTTGTAATTGTATCCACTTAAAAAATATAATTTATCATTATATTACTAAGGGCACATGATTATATAACATCACATTATTGTTTGATTTACCTATTTACAAAATGGTTTCTTGCCAATTTTAGCAAATGTGGAACATCTGCGAATATATATATTTTATTCTTTGTTTCAGGATGATCAAAATAAGTTTTATTGATTGATATCCCCAGTGAATTCCATAAACTCACATTTGTTGGACCCATATCACTTACGGTTGAGACAACATTGTAACCACTCTCATGTAATGCAGTAATAATATTAAATAAAATATCCTTTGTCATTCTAGTGTCATACATATAAAATATTGGTTGTCTCCATGATGCTATTAAACCTTTTCAACAAAATGTCACATATATTTTAAAATATAAAATTATAATAATTAAATGATTTACCCCTTGCTACTACTGTTTGTACACACTTATGAGGACCAATGAATTGTTCTTTTTTTTTTATCATAGCATATTTTCTGTGATAAATATGTTTCATCAAATGCCAGTACAGTTATTTTTTCTAAATCTGTCATTGAGAAACCTATAATTATAAATATTGTCATGATATTTTATTTTAGAATTAAAATGCTTGTTTTATATACTCTTATGTTTCATTATGGATAAGACTGAAGATAAAACCCCCTGGTCCATAGGGAATTTTGTCGCCCATCCTCTTAGTGTTGAAAGTCCTTAATTAATAAACAGTCATTTTTACTTATAAACATTTATTGTTTATACAATTGAAAAAAACAATAATTAGCTTAATATTTAAAAAATACCTGGCAGTGGATATTTTTTTTCTTCTCTGAGATATCTATAGGCTTTAGGTTACAAACTTCTAAGTGTTATAGCATTGGCTATATCATTTTCTGTCCACTTGTATACTTTTTTGTTGGGATATAAAAGTAATTTTATTTGTGTTTCGGTAAACATTCCTGACAACACTTTATTAAATTCAATTTCATTTTTTTCTTTTAATTTATTATTTGGTAAGGAATTCATAATCTCTTTCTGTAATTTAATGGTATTTTGTAATTCTAAATTTAGTTCTTTTTCTTTTTTTAATTTTAAATGTAGATCCAATAAATAATTATTTGTATTTTTTTCATTCAAGTCATCACAATACTGAGTACTAACATCAGCTTTTTCCACTGGAAGTCTAGGATACACCTTATATATTTCACACTGAATACCAACATCTTGTGTTTCACTTAATAATTGTACTCCAAAATCAGGTAGATTATTTAAACAATTATTTTTTTTGTTTGAAGTAAATGAATTAATTTTTTCTTTAGGTGCTGTAGAACTTTGAAAACTAGATTGGAATGAACTATCATGTGTGGAGTGTGGTGTATGGGTATTTACAGGATTACATTTAATTGTTGGTTTTTGAATTTTGGGCTGGAATAAAATGATTTAGAAAAGATTTAATTGGTTTTTTTTATGTTGAAAAATAATAACCAACCAAATTTTTTGATGGTACAGCATTGGGTTTTTGTTGATGTTTAGGAGAATACTCTAACATTCTTTGGATCAATCGTTTTTCATAATCAGATGAATCAAAATGTAATGAGCATACTCGTGCTATAACGTTTACATACATTTTAGGTAAATTAAAATAATTATGTACTTAAAAACCAAATTAATCTATAGTTATTAATTACTATGTGTCCATGTAGGAGTATAATATAAAACCATATATAAATGTTATATGATTTGCCTAATAAATAACCCCGGAAAAAAATAACCCCAAAAACCCCAAAGTTTTTCGCTTTATTAAATGAAACTACCGACTAAATTTCATACTCAATAACTTCAGCGGTCTGGCTAGTCGATGGTGAAACACTCAGGACAAGTCATTATTTTATATATAGAGATTTATAGGTATCTATTTTATATTTTAATATTTAGATTAATTTGCAATTTGGTTATTTTTTCCGTAGTTATTTTTTCACGGTACCAATGTACCCATGTTATATGTACACGACAATCCTTAGTTTACTAACCAGAAGAAATTTTAATTTTTTCAGACATAACACTAAGTTCAATCCACAAGTTTTGCAAATATTCTTCCTTAGGAAAACGATGAAGAATTGGTTTAATTTCGGCAATTTTTGATGTACGACTGCCACTCGTACAATTTTTTACTACGCACACAGGCATTATATAAAAAATATAAATAAAAAAACAACAATGACAATACCAAACAATGATTATATTATATTAATATTTTCCATTACTCTACATTATGAATTATAATCACTATAAATATGCAGCAGTAATAATAATAGTATAATATATTTATAGAAAATGTTCAACTCAATACAATATATTATTATTATTATTATATAATAAGAATTCCCGCTAAATAGTATTTCAAATTGTGGGACCGGCTGACGTCATTTTTCAAGTGATAACAATGAATGCGCGTAACAACTGAATATCGTCAGAGTTGCTGTCATACCATGTTATTTAGCCATGGGCATACTGACTCTGGAGCATGCCACATAAAATTGCCCATGTGAAAAACAATCTTCTCTTACATCGATCCCTGCAATTTTCAAGGTTTGTCCTTGTGATTTATTTATTGACATAGCAAAACATACTTTGACAGGAAACTGCATTCTCTTAAATTGGAATGGATAATCTGATGGTATCATTGGTATGCGAGGAATAAAAACTGATTCACCTTTTGTAAATCCAGTCATAATTTGAGCTTCTATCAGATTTTTTTGAAGATCAGTAATACGTAGACGAGTCCCATTGCACAATTTTGGTGAGCTAAGATTTCTTAGAAGCATTATAGGAGTACCAATTTTTAATGTTAATAAATGTGGTGGGAATCCAGGAGGGTTGAGTGAATTGAGAAATTCTACGGGATAATTAACTGCATCATCTATTTCCAGCACCGAATTCACCGATCTGTATTCCATTTTTTTTTGCTTGAAAAGAGCCCAATAATATTTTGTTTATTTCTCCTGCTGTATCATTTTTTGATGTCAAAATGGCCCTCTCACATAACCAGTCTATTGATATTTCTTTGAGGTTTTCGATGCCAGGAAATTATATTTTGTATGTAAGTTCTTGTAAAGTATTAACAACAGTACCTAATCCTGTCGGCAAAGTAATTTTTTCTTCACATTCTGGATATTTTCCTTCTCCTATTTTTAAGAGTAGCTCAGAAAACTGTTCAGCAGTCTTGTCTCCTTTTAAATGTACTCGCATATTTTTGGTCAAAGAAAATTTTTCTATTTTAGGCCACAAATATGAAGACTTGATGCATGCTGCGATTTCATTAGCTCGAGTTCCTCTAGGTACGATTGGTAGAGTTTGTCGAAAGTCTCCAGCTAGCAGTACTGTGACTCCTCCCATTTATAAATTTGAATTTCTTAGATCCTTCAGACAGTTGTTTAAAGCTTCAAAGCCTTTCTTATGAGACATTGGACTTTCATCCCAAACTATGAGCTTGCATTTTTTCAGAACATTTGCAATATTAGATTGTTTATTAATATTGCACGTTGGAATCTCGATGGTGTTCAGATTGAGTGGCAACTTGAAAGCAGAATGAGCAGTTTTTCCTCCATGTAAAAGCGTAGCAGCAATTCCTGATGATGCAGCTGCAATTGCAATCCCATATGAGCTTCTTACTTTAGCCAAAAGTATATTGATTAAGTGGGTTTTACCAGTTCCGCCAGGAGCGTCTAAAAATATACATTTTCCTAAATTTAATTTGATACTATTTAAAGTTTGTTTGTAAACAACCCTCTGTTCCTCAGTCAAAGAGGGTTCATTCTGCAAAACAATTTCCTGTAAAGCATTTAAATCATAGCTTGTTTCTTTTAAATATTCTCTATTTTCTAAAAGTCCACCAGATCTTGTAGGAGTTGGCAAATCATATTCTTTTAAGTTATTTCCACCTAGATTCAAAACAAAGTCTTCAATTAATACCAAACACTTATTATAAAGTTCACTGTCTGTTATATTATTTTCTAGATGTTGTCTATAATATTGTCGCCGAATATCGTCTGAAAAATCGTCCTTATACTTAGTCCAAAGACTTGAAGCATCTGAGGGATGGCAAAATATTAATATTACACTGAAAAGTTCTCGCATTTTATTAGGTGAACGACATAATGCTGCTTCTTCTAAAGCAAAATCCCACTGATTGTCATCTTCTAATAATCCAAGTGCTTTACATGTGGCCTGGAATGTCGGATACTCGATATTGTTCACAATCTTCAAAAATGAATACGATGTTGGACCTTTTACGTAATGAAGAAGAAGACGAAGATAGTAACATTCAACATTGTTTGGGTGGATTATATAAACTCTACCCAAAGCTGTATCTTTCTTAACTCCTGGCCAACCTTCGACATTCTGGCCTTGTTTACGTCTAACAAAATTCTTATTTTTCCACACATAATACGAAGCAACTTGTGGATAAAGCAATGTTCTTGCAAAATTTTCGGTTTGACATATCTGGAAAAAAGCCTGAAGAGTTGTTGTTGGTGGATTTTCTATTCTTTCGGCAACATTATTTGCTGTGAAGTAGACACGTTGTCCATTTTCTAGGTGAACATCAAGATGAATAATAGCTGGATACCTATCGTGTATATAAAAACCTAAAATTTTCCAAGCTGCTTCGGAACTACTGATATACCTGCCACTTTCATATATTTTTATTTCATCTGTATGGTCAGATTTTCCTAAACCAAACGCTGCGTGATCACTACCTTTTGTGACATATTTGCATACATATTTTATAGACTTGATTGAACTGGTTATTTCTACATTTATATGAGCACTAAAAATACGCAATAACACAGGGTTATATGGAACAACCCACCTGTTATCTAGGTCAATTGACTTAATACTCACTTTGAAACCACCATCGTTTGTTGATCGCCTTCTATATTTTGGATAGCCATCTTCACCTCTTTGAGTTTCTTGAATGAGCGTAACTGGATAACGTTTGCTGCAAACACCTCCTTTCATGCACGGAGAATTATTGTTCAAAAGTCCACATGGTCCATGTATCATGTTAGCCTTTACTATCTCGTACAGTAAAGGATCTACATCTGGATTCGGAATCTCAGCACACACGAATTTATCTATCATATCTGATGTAATTTGATTCTCCAACCATAGTAATATGTGTACGTGAGGTAGGCCTCGTTTCTGCCATTCAACTGAATATATATGGCACCTCACTTTCCCAAACAAATCTCCTTTTGTCAACAGATCTATTAACTCCTTCACTTTTCGATTAAATACTCTTGCAATGATGTTTGGGCGATGGTAATGTTTTTGTCCTCGTAAAAGTGCTTCTTGGATTTCTTGCCATTTTGGATTACACGTAAAAGTTACGAATAAATCTGAGCTGCCATAGTGTCGAACGTACGTCAGTGTATTTTGGGCTCGTTCATGCATATATCGTGGGCCTCCTGTAAAAGATGATGGCAATACAACTAATTTTCCAAGTTGATCTGCGTCAACATCTTGTCTTCCAACGGTATCTTTTAAATGAATATATTTATCTGCTCTAAGCTTATTTTGATGATTTCTAATGAAATTTAATCTTTCAGTCTCTATTTTTGCGTACATATCTACTAAATATTGGTTGAACAATGGACCATAACGAAGCAAATGATTATCTTGTTCTTTCCTTACCATAATTTTATATGAATAAAAATTGGCAGCAGATACAGTTTTATCTGTAATTAATTTTGTAGTTGCATCCTTCTGAGAAATATCTATTGAGTATCCATCTTTCTCCATAACAAAACATTAGAGGGTATTGAAGTGCGTCGTAGGATCTGTGTAATTCACTTATCCGTTGTAATCGATTATCGTGGCTTTGAATAATAATATCACGTTTTTCAAACTGCTGCCCAACTATAACTAAAGCTACTTCATTACATGTTGCAGCATTATAACAGCCTTTGTGTCCATTAGCAGGTTTTCTATCAGCGTGAATAACCACCTGAAAATTAGTATTATTTTGATTTGCATTATCTATTGTGGTTTTTAACTCTCGAATATACTTATTTTCAGTATGCAGCATATTTTGTAGCTGTTTGACTAATGCTTGTTTAACTTCTGGATAAAGAGAGCATCTAAGTTGGACTTCTTTTTTATCTTCGCTAACAAAATATATTTGTTAAAATTGTGGGTTTTCCTGAGTATTTGGAATCAAACTGCCGTACAAATGGTAGACTTGGCCTTGCACTTTAAATGTTGGCATATAACCTTCTTCAACAATCTGTTTAGCACCAAACGAAGTCATTTGAAAACAACTATTATATTTCCTAGTACGATTCATGAAGTGATCATGATCAGGATGGTCTCCCTCAAGTAAACTGCGTAATGGTTCTGGGGGCGGCTGTAAGGGATCGAGTTGTGTTTTACCTATATTACAGCACATACCAGGAGTTTCGCTTTTCCACTTGAGAGCGTTACAAAAATTACATTTTTGGTTCATAGTACCAATGTTTTTTTTATAATCAATAGTGGGATTATATGCTAGACCAGATAATTTCTTGATTTTCCATTTGCGTAAATTAATTTTAGTCGGAAACCCTAAAGTTTCTTGGTGTTTGATTACTTTGTACTTTGTTATAGCTTTCTTAACTTGGTTGATTCGAGTTTTATGTGTATATCTAGCACGGCGACGCTTCTTACTTTTTTTATTAATTGTATTTTTATTATTATTTTCTGTGACACTAACATTATTAAAAATAGATAAATCGCCCTCTGAAGTAGTATTTAAATTTACTGCAACATTATGAATATTGGGAATAGATAAATAAACATCAAAATGACCACTATTAATATTTCCAGTTAGACGCAATCTTTTTACTGGGAATGTATCTACACCAAATGTAGCATAAAGATTATGATTATAATAAATTTGAAATAAAAATGGGAAAATATTTCCAGCTGCAACCAATTCGCAATAACCACCGTAGACAGTAGGATTGACCATTTCACGAACATAAGCCTCAGCAGTGGAAAAGTTGTCACCATTTGAATTGTAAGACATAGTAATAAAATTATTCCAATTATCAGACACATACGAAACAATTTTATTTCGGATCTCCTGACATCTTTCTTGAGTGTTAAACAAATGAAATGATATTGAACGGAAAAGGCAGGCACCATCACCGATAATTGGTACAACTATTTGAGGTGTCAACATTCCATTGACAAAAATGTCTTCAAGCGATGACATTTTTTAAAAAAATATTCAAACAATTAACCCTGCGATAGGCGCGCTCAATTATGTTACATTAGTAGGCGCGTGGAGCAATTTATAAAAAAATATTAATTTGTTTACAATTTATTATAAACTCTTAGTTGCTATAACAATTGAAATTTTTCTAGCGTTATATTTGATCCGACTCTGACATAAAATATATTAAATTTGTAAAAAATTTAGCTTTATTTCCAATTTCAGGTAATAAACTACCTATTAAATGATGCACTTGACCCTGAATTTTAAAAGAGGGCATGAAGTTCCCTTCAGCTATTTCGTTTGCTCCAAATAATGTCATTTGAAACAGAGTATTATACCGTCTAGAATTATCAAAGAAATGTTTTGATAGAGGGTGAGAATTATCAATTAAACTTTTAATTGGGTCTGGAAGATCCTCGAATTGGTGTAAAACAACTTTACCGTCAGCGCAGCAAAGTCTATGGGTTTCATCTTTCCATTTTTTTGCATGGCACTTAGGACATAATATAGTCATCTGTCCAATTTGAAGCGCTTTAATATTTAAATAACCAATCTCGGATTGATAATTAAACGCTGATTTCATACTATTATCGATATTTGTATTATTATTTATATTTATATTTTTATCTGCTAGAGGGCGCCACCGGTGTAACTCAGTTTTTGTCTCTAAATCTCTAACTCATAGGAGTTTCGAAAAATCCTTTCTTAGTGCGCCTATACATAGTAATAAGTACATATCCTGAAAATTTCAAATAAATCCGTACGGTAGTTTTGGCTGTACGTTGATTATTGGTAAAGTATACTTTCTCTTATATATATAGAGATTAGGAAATATATCGTTCACACTTGAATGAATTAATGTTCGAAATCGATTATTAGTGTTCTTGGCTGCAAACATTTGTTTAATGATAGACATTATTCATGAAGTACTTTCCTAAAAGCTGTATATTTATCTTTATTTTTATTTTTATATGGAAGTAAAGACAACACAACTGGTACAAATAATACTCCATTACGATATGCGTAAATACTAAGTTTAACGATGAAAAATTTTCGTACAGTATTTAAATGTACCGTCAACATATAAAGTCTGAGAATAATGAGAATCACACAAACAATTTAAATTTGAATCACATGAAAATATAATTATACGTTCAAATGGGTCATTAATTATCTTAATAAATTATTCGTCTTAAACTGTTATCAGCTTAGTATTATTAATATATTTATGTACTTCAGAAATTGATTTTGGAAGCTTCGGTAAATTTCGTATGCGTTGACGAGAAATTTTATCCCTAATTAATTTTGTGTTTTTACGTGTTAACATTGTTAACGTCGACACTGCTACTACATTAGTAGTTATTTCAAATTGTATTAACATGGTAGGACGATCAGTTATGTAATCAAGACCCTTTCATTTCATCCTGTTTCTAATTGTTAACCAAACAATAATTAATATTGATGATCCTCGAGAACAATTATTGTCAACGCTAATCGTATATAATTTTGCTTTGCGCATTTTTTTGTATGCATTTCCATCGAATTTTTCCGGATTTTAATTCCGTACACTAATAATTATTTTTTAGAACAGCACATTTTTTCGTTGACTGTATACGAAACTTGTCACTTATTTCACTTGTCATACTTAATTAAATAAATTTGTAATAACTTAATAATTTTAAATAATTATATTTTAAACAGCTACTAGTTAGAGAATTGATCAGTTATCATTATTAATTCGTTAAGCCACAAAATTTATTTTGTAAATTAATCAGTACATAATAATGATTATATATGGCTTTGCAGATATAATAGTTTAATTTCAACATGGTTTTACTTTTACACCGGTATAGCGATATCTTAATTAATTTTATAGCATGCGGACTGTTGTCGCTGGTTTTTAATGGACTGTATAATTTTTAATATATAATTTTCATTAATATAGAAATGTATAATTTATTTTAAAAATACTGAGACAGACACGGTGACGCGCATATGTACATGGATACACGGTTAAACACACACTAAAATAGGTAACATTCGTACATGGATCGGATCGACATTGGCGATCATAAGATAACATAACAATAGATAATAATAATAATAGTGACATTTCTGAAGTATAATATACGCGTCGACACGGACTTTTGGTGTTATAAATATTTTTAGAATACGAAGCTATGCTGCGTTCATGTTTCGAATGTGAGGAAATACAGTGCATGTGGAGCTATGGATTCAGGGGTGGAGTGGAAACCAAACACAAACCTGGAGATTGAAATTTATCCAGACCATCCACCTTTTACCAATTAAATCTCCAATTTTTTTTTTTCATTTTTAGAACCTATAAAAATACACAATTAAAAGCATTTCAATAATAATTAATTGTTATAGAAATAAATAAATTTTATCTTTTTATAATATATTACTTCTTTCAGTGTTATAAATGTAATACATCCATGCATTTATAGCATTTAAGAAAATGACTTAACCGATTAATAGTCATTTTTGCTCGAAATTTATATTTAATAAAACATTATAATGTATTATAAACATAAAGTATTATTTTGCTGAATTATATTACGCAACATGACTCGATCTTCATACAAATGAAATAGAGAAGGTAATAGCTGATGAAACGAAATCAAATGAAGCAGTTTTGGAGAAAAATAATTCCACACCGGAACCAAATTTAGGCTAACCTATTAATATTTGTGAGTGATGCTATACAGTTATGATAGGAATGTACAAAAAATATCCATATTCTTAAAGTTAATTGTTATGCATATTTGTGTTATACTTCAATAAAAATAATTTGCATTATAATATTACATTAAATATATAGGTACTGTTTTTATATTTTAAGTGTTTGGATTTTTAATGTTCAATATATGACATAAATATTAAATATATCATAAAGCATTTTCTTTTCGTGTTCGTAGTAACAACAATATAATATTTTAATTCAAATAAATTTTTCTGACTGTATTAGAAACATTAAAATACATCTTTTAGTATCGACATGGATATTGAAAAATGATCAAGGTACTAATGAGTAATGGGTAATTATCGACTATTGAGGTATATGTTTTTTTATTAAAATTACGTTTTATCGTCAAACATATTTGTTGAAAATATCATTAAATTAAAGTTTACAAACATTGAGTAGGTATAATTTTATACTCCAAAACATTTTTTGGTAAATAAAGTATGTTAGCATTATTTTTTATCAAATACAAAACAGTAAATCACAATGATTATAATATTACTCTTCATACTTGCATAATCTGTATTTGCACTTAAAGTAAAAAGATTTGTTTGTAAATAAGTAATTACTGCTTCAAAGGATCTAGACAAACTAATTGAGCATAATATTATTTTGTAAATTAAGAACATTTTTAATCTAATTAATCATCTTGGAAAATCAGCATACTAAATGTGT